TCTGTGTCCTTTAACAGATTCTCAAGCTTTGCCCCAAGAAGAAAAGCTCTTCAACCTACACATTTTGCAAGTCAGTCGGCCTCTTAGGAATGCAGTTCCATCTGTTTGAGAATGAATGTAAGTTTATCACAGTCTACTTGGCTCTCTGCCTGATGACACTGGAGGGGATAAATGCGCCGTCTTTCATGGGTTATGGAAAGAGGCTCATTCAAGAGGAAGAGCAAAAGTAGTGTTCTGGTTATGGTGAATGTTAGCATTTAGAATCTGAACTGGGGAGCCCCCCCCCCCCGGTGTTAATTCAAACTGAGCCATGGTGACTTTGGGCCACTCCTTCTCTCCAGTCCAATCGAATACATAGAGTTGTTGATGGATAAACAATAAGAGAAGGGAGTGTAGCGTATGCTACCTTACGTTCCTAGGGAAACATGAGAGACAAATGTCTATGGAGATTCTCAGTCATCCAGGTCATGGTTGTCCCAAAGATGCTTTTTTCAAAAGGCAACTGGACTTTCTGGTTTTTCTTTGAAGACGTTTCACTTCTTATCCAAGAAGCCTTTTCAGCTCTCAACTCCTCAGAACTGAAGAAGCTTCTTGGGTGAGAAGCGAAACGTCTTCAAAGAAAAAACAAGACAGTCTAGCTCCCTCTTGAAAAAAATCACCTTTGGGATGAGATACAAATGAATGAATCAAAAATGCTTGAAGAAAAGTTGGTTTGTCTACCTCAGAGTCTTGACTGGTTAAACTCCCTTAAACCATGATTCCAACTCAGGCAGTCCTCAACCTACGACCACAACTGAACCCCAAATTCATGTTGCTAAGTGAAACAGAAGTTAGGTGAATTTTGTCCCATTCTACCACCTTTCTTGCCACTGTGGTTAAGTGAATCCCTGCAGCTGTTAAAGTAGTAACATGGTTGTTAAGTGAATCTGCTCCCCCATTGAGGTTGCTTGTCAGAAGGTCGCAAAAGGGGTTCGCAGGACCCCAGAACACTGGAACTGTTATAAACAGGACTCAGTTGTCAATCATCTGAATTTTGATCCTGAGACAATGGGGAGGCAGCAATGTTCGTAAGGGTTAAAAATGGTCATAAGTCACTTTTTCCAGTGCCGTTGTAACTTTGAACTGTCACTAAATGAACTCTTGCGAGTCGAGGGGCTACTTGTACTTCCATAATTCCATACCATATAAATTCATTCAATTTGACAAGAAAAAAACAAACAAACCCCACCCCAAACAGACAAAGCTTTGTAAAATCATATAATAACTTAAATAAAAATCTTCAGTAGACCTGAAGAGACATACAGTGCAGTGGTGAAATTCAATATTTTTTTACTACCGGTTCTGTGGGCGTGGTTTTGTGGGTGTGGCAGGGGAAGGATATTGCAAAATCTCCATTCCCACTCCGCTCTGTTGGGCCAGCCAGAGGTGGTATTTGCCTGTTCGCCGAAGTACTCAAAATTTCCGCTACCGATTCTCCAGAACCTGTCAGAACCTGCTGAATTTCACCCCTGTTACAGCGGCTGTGGAATTCTGAATGGCTGGGTGAGATGAAAAGGTAAACCAGGAGAATATTCAGAAAAGAAAGCATGCCTGACAATATTTTGTTGGAAGCCTCAGTTATAGGCTTAAATCAGGGGTGTCAAACTCAAGGCCCAGGGGCCGGATCCAGCCTGTGGGGTGCTTAGATCTGGCCTGAGCGGACACCCAGGAAACAATGAAGGAGTAGCCCGTGGTGACTCTGCCAAAGAAAACTGAGCTCAGGAGGGCCATCACAGCGGAAAATGGAGCTTGCAATAGCCACGTGTGGCTCTCCTGAGCTCCGTTTTTGCTGGCAGAGGGTTGCCGGAGGCCATCACAGCCGAAAATGGAGCTCGTGAGCCCATTTTTGCTGGTTGAGCACTCGGGCCACCACAGGCACCCCCGACACGAGTGATGTCAAGCTGACCCCCCCCTGGCCACGGCCACCCGGGCCCCCAGAGGTCAAACACTGATGCAGCTCTCAATGAAATCGAGTTTGACACTCCGGCCTAAATGAACAACAAACAGAAATGAAGAATCATCGGGACAATCATAGAATTCTAGGGCTGGAAGGGAATTTAGAGATCATATAATCCAACTCTCTGTCCAGGGCAGGAATCTGCCGACCCTCCCAGACAAATAGCCTCCACACTTTTGGTTGAAAACCTCCGGGGAAGACTCTGAAAAGTAGGCTGTTCTCCTTCTGTACTTAATAACACTCACAACCAAATTTCAGCTTCTTTCATGTTTGGAAAAAAATCTAAACCCCTGGATCATTTATCACTGAGTTCTTTTTCAATATTTTTGGCCTCCCAATCTAACCCAGAGATT